CAAACGCCCCAGCATATTCCTGCTTCGTGTACACTCAAACAAACGCCACAGCGTATCCCTGCTTCGTGCACACTGAAACAAACGCCCCAGCCTATTCCTGCTTCGTGTACACTCAAACAAACGCCCCAGCATATTCCTGCATCGTGAACACTAAAACAAACGCCCAAGCATATCCCTGCTTCGTGTACACTGAATCAAACGCCCCAGCATATCCCTGCTTCGTGTAAACAAAACAAACGCACCATCATATCCTCGCTTCTTGCACACCACTGAGATCGTTATCAGACGTTCACACTTATATCAAACGGTAAATGCCGATGAAATTTTCCCATAGTAATAAATTAATTTTCAGTAATTGTATTTAAACTGAGAGTGCCAAAGGCAAATTTGAACTGATACGATTTTGACAATTCTGTTGGGCTCTTTTTATTTTGATACTCTTAAAAGTTTTTTTCTGTAATTTTCTTTTCATACTTTTGCTCTCTAGTTTTTTCTGGTGAAGTTACAAAAACACGAGTCATACGAACTGAAATCGGTATCAAACATAAGTTTTCCATTCGTTTCGTTGGTTGATAAAGTTAAACTTGGTCAGTTTTTATGAATCTTGAATTCAACATTGAGTTCCGTATATTTGTTATACAGTTTTACTGATAGTCATTTCCTGCAATATTTTATTGAAAAGTCTTGCTTTGAAATTGACAAGTGCTAGATGAAATGTAACTTGAATACACTTTCATGCTGGTCTGTCTATGATTAAACATGGGTAACCTTTGTAAAAAGAGAGAAATGTCACAGAACAATTATCATTTTAAGTTAACCACAGCATAGACCAACATTATATTATAAAATTGAGAATGGAAATGGAAATGGGAAATGAGTAAAAGAGACAACAACCCGACCAAAGAGCAGAAAACAGTCCCAAGGCCACAATACATTATACATCGTATCTGAACATATGGTCAAAGACAAACGAATCTTGTCTGACGAACATGTATACCTTGCAATGATTCGTTATATCAAATATATTTGTCCTTTTACTCACAGCCATTATTGAAAAATATTGTGAGAAAACATATAATGTCTTTGAACAAATATTTTTATCAATTATTTTCTTTACTTTCTCTTTGATTTCACATTGTAAATGTCCTGAAGATGCCAATAACTATATTACGGTCATGAAAAAGTGCGTCAACTTGAAAACTACCTTAACATAATAAGTAGTGTCTTAAACACATTATTACCATTACATGACGAAGAAGTCATTGATCTTGACATTATTACCATTACATGACGAAGAAGTCATTGATCTTGACATTATTACCATTACATGACGAAGAAGTCGTTGATCTTGACATTATTACCATTACATGACGAAGAAGTCATTGATCTTGACATTATTACCATTACATGACGAAGAAGTCATTGATCTTGACATTATTACCATTACATGACGAAGAAGTCATTGATCTTGACATTATTACCATTACATGACGAAGAAGTCGTTGATCTTGACATTATTACCATTACATGACGAAGAAGTCGTTGATCTTGACATTATTACCATTACATGACGAAGAAGTCATTGATCTTGACATTATTACCATTACATGACGAAGAAGTCATTGATCTTGACATTATTACCATTACATGACGAAGAAGTCATTGATCTTGACATTATTACCATTACATGACGAAGAAGTCATTGATCTTGACATTATTACCATTACATGACGAAGAAGTCATTGATCTTGACATTATTACCATTACATGACGAAGAAGTCATTGATCTTGACATTATTACCATTACATGACGAAGAAGTCATTGATCTTGACATTATTACCATTACATGACGAAGAAGTCATTGATCTTGACATTATTACCATTACATGACGAAGAAGTCATTGATCTTGACATTATTACCATTACATGACGAAGAAGTCATTGATCTTGACATTATTACCATTACATGACGAAGAAGTCATTGATCTTGACATTATTACCATTACATGACGAAGAAGTCATTGATCTTGACATTATTACCATTACATGACGAAGAAGTCATTGATCTTGACATTATTACCATTACATGACGAAGAAGTCATTGATCTTGACATTATTACCATTACATGACGAAGAAGTCATTGATCTTGACATTATTACCATTACATGACGAAGAAGTCATTGATCTTGACATTATTACCATTACATGACGAAGAAGTCATTGATCTTGACATTATTACCATTACATGACGAAGAAGTCATTGATCTTGACATTATTACCATTACATGACGAAGAAGTCATTGATCTTGATAACTAACTTTCAATTGTGCAGACAGAAAGAAAAAAATAAGTCTTAGTGACGAAATTATGTTATCTCTGAGACTTTCTGTTACTTAATCATAAATGAACGTTGTCAACATCTTACTTATAAAATACATATTTTATACAAATTCAAATAAGAAATTGGTTATCGTTGAATATCAAGGTTAAATCGGTTCCATGGACCATTTTAATTCTGCTATGAGACAGAATACAAGAGACAGACATTAAATTGAGGCGTGAGCTATTCTTTTTCGTTTTGAAAACCTTTTAAAAAAGTGTCAAACTGAAGAATAACAATTACAACTCCGTTTCTTTGATTTGTTAGTTATTTGTCCTTCGTCATAAAAATAATTTAATATCCTTGTTAATGCTTATACAAATAATATTATTACTTTTTCAGAAATAAACGTTCTTACGCATTCACTTATCTTTTGAAATTGAAGTTAGATAAAACAAATATATCATCGGTTTTCAATACTTAAATGAAGTAAATAATGTTTATATTCTTGAAATATGACAATAGCATTTAATTTACTTATTGTACACAATTTGATGTTGACCGCAGCTAGTCTTGATAGTCTCTGTTAAAAGACAAAGATGACACAACCCTTCAATTTATTCAAAACAAAACTACATTGTCACCTTATTTATCATTAATCATAGAGATTAATTATATATTAGAAAAAGTCAATTCCTTTTTATCATTTTTCTATTCTAAATTCACAATAAAGTGTTGCAGTGATTGTTGCGAAAAAATCACCCCAAAAAAGGGTTTTTCGCAAAACTTCAGTACTTTCATCAGAACTTGAACGGTTTTTGAATTATTATAAACTATTAATACTTTGTGTCGTTTATCGTTATGTTAGTTGTTTTTGTGCGTCGTGCCAGTTCAAGCCATTACCAACGCATTTTTACAGTGTATTCTTATTTTGTGCTGTTACACCACGGTCCATGCAAGGTTAAAATGAGGGTTGCCCGTTTACGAACATCTTTAACCCACCACATTTTGTATGTGCATGTTTTAAGTCCCGACCGGTAATTCATAGATTGTCGATGGATGCGGTCTGTTATATTTGTTTTTCGTTTGTTGTTTTATCATAAATGAGGCCGTTTGTTTTCTCGTTTGAATTGTTTTACATTTTGTCATGTCGACTACGGTTTAGTTCATTGTTGAAGGCCGTACGGTGACCCTTAGTTGCTTACATCCACCATTGAACTCTGGTAGAAAGTTGTCTTATTGGTAATCATACCACATCTCTTTATTTCTAACTAAAGTGCTTGCCTCTTTTAAATTGTCCATAAGGGTATTAACCTGTGAATTTCTTGTTTGCATTGCTTACGCAGACGTAAGGACGAGAAATGCCTAGAACAAGATTTTTTATCCAATATATGATGTGCAGCCGCATAAATATATTTTAATATCCAATGATGACCTTAAAAATGCTGTTGTATCAATCTAATAAAGAGAGAATATAAATTTTAATGGGAAACTTTTGTAATAGAAATTGTATTTTAATAGGTTGATTGTAGTGAATATAATGAGTGTAGTAAAGTATTTGCGGGGATATGAAAGCACCACAAAGCTCATTCAGCGTAAGCATATCATAACTTGCAGGTTTATCATAACTCACAAATGGGAAATAGATTGTTAGATAATCAGAAATTAAGTTTGTTGTACAATTTACAAATTAGTTATTTCCGATTAATCATTAGTGAAAATAAATCCTAGCATGACGCAGTAAACACCATTAGACTGTATGTTAAACGATACAAGACTGAACAAAGAAATCCGCTCACAAAACCGATGGATCTCAAAAACAAGTGGAAAAAAGTACAATTTAGAAAAAAAATATGACGATTATACAATATCATTACATATCTGCTTCCTATGGATACAGAAATCAATGGATTATTCATTACGTCAATGAATATGATATACATGTACATCATATCATGAAAAAAAAAACCCAAACAAGTCACTGTAATGACAAACTGTATCCATAAACAGCAGTTACTTAAAGAGCACGTTGTGTAACATTGTCAATAAAAACTCGTACAACGAAATAACAGTCGAACACTTACAAACAATTCACCACAAAGACATGTGCACATATAAATAGTTTAAAGATTTTGAGACTGCGGCAAAACTACTCGAAGAATACCGTTAGCGATAGTAATTTTTTCGGAATGGTTAGTTTATCCGGTACAGTATTTGTAAACGAACAATTTTATGAATATAATAACAACAGTAATTACTTATTATAAAACAAAACGAAATTATCTTTAAATTCATTCACTGTAGAATTCGGGACTAGAGATTTTTCTTGTTCATGAAAAACTATATGCATATCACAATATTCAATTCAAAAGTCAAAAATCGTGAATTGACTGGATACCTTCGTATTCTATAAGAATCTTCCTTCTTTTAAAAAAAAATCATCATTATTGTTTTGTAGACACTAGCTTAAACAAGTTCGTTTTGATCTAAAATTTCTTGAAAAGATTTCATTATTTTTGTTCTTTTATGAAAAATAAAGATAAAAAAAAAGTCACCCTGATTTCTTCAGAAAGTTAAATAAAAAGTAATGAATTTGTATATACTAATGTATATAATATCAAATCAGACCAGAATGTTATATTGAATACTTAGAGTATATTTTAATGTTAAACCTGTACCTGTCTTGAAACTCTTGTTAACGTATCCATACTCCTTTTCCCACCCGGAGGACAGTTCCGAATAAAGCACGAATTAGTCTCTTCTATCAAACAAAAAGTCAAAATAATTGTCACTAAACATTGAATAGAAAACTGTTTTACAATATCCATATTCACAACAAAAATGTCAACTAGTTATCTCTTAAATTCGTGTAAAATACCCGCCAAATCAATATTACTCCTATCAATTTCTCACCCTTTTAAACATAAACTGTCGTCTGTCAGTGGGTGAGCCATGTGACTGGCTTTGCGCGTAGGACAAACCGTCGTCAGAGTATGGAAATATGGGAGGGTTTATTTTTTTATGCTTCATAAAATTGCATATTAGATGATATTGAATTAAATTGTAACGGTTAATCACATACTTGATGACATTGTATCATATACGTCAACTTATCAGTGACGATTTTTTATTGAATAAATATTTTGATAATCCGTAGGAATTTTTAGCTTTTCAATATATTGATAACACATTTTAGGATTGTTTATTCCTGTTGGAAGGGCATAAGTCCAAAGTAAATATGCTAATATAGCTAATGCTGCTAGTATAGTGTTATGGAAATAAACCTTGAAGTGTTCTTCATGTTATCATTAAAGATGTCACTTATTAATTTACTTCGCAATAACTGAGTTATCTTATTCGGATACATACATATTTTTGTAAAGAAGATTATTCTCAGACAGTTACTGCAGATGATTTTATACAAATATATATACCAAATCAATTTTTTTATAGTTTTTTATCCTTCCAATTCCTGTAGCTGTTGATCGCCGTCTGTTGGACATAACCCTCAAAGTCGGGGACTTATCATTCTTACTTTTAAGGATGGATAATATGGCACATATATTCGAGTACAGTAAACATTTCTAAAGTTTAAGGCGATGCGGCATCAGAATAATATTCTGCGGTTACAAATTCTTAATTCGTTTTATCAAGTTGAAATCACCCTTTAAGGGTATACGATATAGTTTTGATCCCACGGTGAATTTTTGACGAAAGTTTGTATACAAGCTATTTTTCACTTAGTCAATTCAAATATATAATTAAAAATATACATTCATGTGCTACTTTTTAGAGATAAATAGGGTCGAAATTTTGGACATTTACTGGAAATTTCGATTTCTTGAACATTTCTATCCTTTGGAAAGACATCCCTTACCTTTTTGTTTCAAAAGAAAAACGCAAGCTGATTTTTGTTAAAACATTTGGTATATCTTCTCTACATTAGAGTGCTTTAAATTTGCGTAACAATTCTTTGGAAATAATAAATTTTTATCACATTTTCATGCTCTTAGTAAAAAAGGGCATTTTTTTTCATGTATGTTCATCTAATTTATAAAAAATTCATCAGTGATTTGTTCATAAAAAATTGCACAAATAATCTTCACACATAATCAAATCAAATGTCATTTGTAAAAAGAGAGGTCCATGAACTTGATTTCAAGTTAAATCATGCTGAATGATAAAAATCAGTCGAAAAATGCATCTTTTCTCGATATGTCAAAATTTGACGTCGAGAAAAGTAACATTTAACGTTAGCGACGTCATTACCTCCCCTGTAACTGTATCGTATGCCCTTAAAGACAATTTCAGTCTTAATTCGTATTTTTGTTTAACATTTTTATCACATTCACTTAGGTAACCAAGTATACCACTATTAGAATGAATACTATGTGAAAATTATATGAGTTAAAGAAAACTGGCCATATCCGAAATCATAACAATTTAGAATGCAGTAACCCTTCTTGTTGTTTAGAGAAAATTACGATTGATTGTTGTTTGCTTGTCGCCCAGTGGAGAATATTTCATATTTATGACGAGAGCTAATTAACAATTGATATAATATGAATGTTCTGCATGGTGGTTCGCTAGTGATCAAGGACGGGAATTCGAAGTTTAGACTACCATTAGATATGAGAACATTACGAATACTCTATTATAAATGGTTAATGAACGATGTTGACTTGTTTAAATATTTTTTCGTTTAAAATTATCTCAACGAACACTTTGTTTATCATGTAGCAATATGCAAAAAATAAATGTCAACAGCCCTCATTTTCTATAAAAAGAATGACGAGTGGGTTTTTCGTATTTGATTAATCATTTAATAGATGTAAGCAAGGTAAAGGTTATCATTCATATACAGTGCTCGAAAAAAAGAAGTGCATACTATTCCAAACAGATATGAATTACATTTCCTTTTGATGTGATCCATAACATTTTCAATATAAATCAAAAAAACTTAATAGAGCCACCCTTATATAGTGAATTCACTGTTGGATAATAACCTAAGTTGGTCTGGTTGCTATTTCACAACTATTCACCAAAGAACGATGCACAACAATAGGTCTCCTTCAACAATGAACAAAACAAATATAAGACTACAAAAAAAAAACAAAAATTAAAAGAAATCAATAACCAAATTTTTTTTAATAATATATAGACGAGAAGGTGATATAACAGATTGGTATCCCTTGATAGAGACACTGGGGGTAAAAATGTTCAATTACCCCCAAAGTCATGAGTTACATGTAATCATATAATAACACTATACGCAGAGTTTTGGGGATGTTAAAAGATGTAGTCAAAAACTGAACATCAAAGGAAGGCCAAATAATGGACAGACAGAAAATTCCTTAAAATATCCGTAAAAACAGAACAAATAAATACAAAATTTAAGTGACACGACTCCTCTTAAATGAGTGTATTAAATCAAGTGATGTTAAATGGTACACAGTGCTTGCTTCGTTTGACGCTGTCGATCATGTGTTGTTGGATAAAAAGAAAAAGTGAGGAAAGACGAGATCGATCCATTGAATGATCCGTGGATTTTAAAAATCCCGTGTAAATAATATAGATAAAAAAATGATGAAATAGTCAAAGACATGATTTGTTTTATATTTACATAGGCTTCTCATATGAAATGCCTTAACTAAACTAACGTATGTAATGATATGTTTTAGCAAGTTAATGTGCTCTTCTTTGTGTGTACACGTGTAATGGGAAATATCACTCACGTGAATTGAGATTCACATGAATCTCAAGTGAAATTCACCACAAACGAGCTTAAACATGAAACTCACGTGAACTGATTTCACATGAATCTCATGTGAAACTCAGGGGAATTTCAGGTGAAAAGCACATTAATCTTTTTTTAAGTGAAATTCACATGAAATTTCAGAAAACAGTTGTTTAGATAACATACAAAATTTCAAATTTAATTAAAATCAAGAAAAATACAAAAAAAAAATTTCTGGAAAGTTCACGTGAAATTCACGTATTAGCTTTTTTGATGTGAATTTCACGTGATTTTTTTCACGTGGATTTCACGTGAGGTTAATGTGAAATCCACGTTTCAAAATTTGCCTGTGTAATACATATAACAAATATACCAAATTGATGCATCCTGTGAATTTTTAGAAGATTTATTTATAATCAGTGGTGCTAAATAAAAACATTGGAAATTCAAAAGTATCAGAATCGAAGATCAATAAATACAAAATAAAACGAGACGAGAATATGTGTCCACGACACCAAAACCCGTTCATGCTATCAAATTTCAATGTTCAGGGTAATTTTGGTCTAAACGCTAGTTTGAAATATATTTTACAGCGTTCAATTCACAAGAAACTTGTGTAATTTCAAATTGATATGACCAAAACCATGGTAAAGGACGAACGAACGGACGAACAGATCAGAAAACGTAATGTCTCTTTTCTGTTGCAGGCGGGATATAAATAGACTATCAAAACTAGAAGACGCGTGAACTACTTAACTGAGTATCTTGAGGATAAACTTATTTTAACCTTTCACTTCACGTATTTCGTGTATAGATATCCAAGTTGATATCCAGTTGAAATTAGACAAAAGAAATTGAATTCTTTCTTAGAGAAGGTATAAATGGTCAAGTTGGTATATTTGAATTGTGTACATCTGTTTTTATAGGCTTTAAAGGAGCATTAGCTGTCAAATTCATGTTCACCAATTTGACCCAAATTCTCATATTCGATTTATAACATACTAAAACGTATATCCAAATTGTAAAAAAGTCTAAAATAAACAATGTACGATACATGGGCTTGATAATATGTATCAGAATTTCGTGTGTATTTTAGTTTAAACGCCATCTAATTAACCATCGAGGTGACCTCCGAAGACTGCCGACGGTCATATAACTCGATATAAACATAAATATAGATAGAATTAGACAGTGAACCCGTGCAATTGGATTTTTCTAGGTCTGTTTGATTTCATATTATAGGTTAAAAATATATGTTAATCATCGTTTTTACCTGTATAAGAATGAGTTTTTGTGGATCTAATCAGTTAATCAAATGGTTTACCCATGTTTCACTTTCAATGTTGACATTCTTTTCCTTTTCATAACTGAACACGCCCAATTCATGCTAAACCCGTCTCTAGGCTAAGTAGCTAATGAGTTAAACTGAAGGTTACATGAATACGGATTCAATGAGGTCGAATTGTTCACTTGCAAGTGAATAATTCATCAGCGGTGTTTCTTTGCTTATTTTGACAAAATTGAACCAAACTGGCTGCTAAAAGCGAATTATTATTTCACTATTTCGCTTTCATTAATAATTTAACAAAAACAAATCATATTTTTATTTTTTTTATATCTCGTAGCTAATGCCCCTTTAAAAGTTTAATGTAGGTGCATAATTTAGGATTTTTTTTATATACACGTGTACAGTAAAATTAAAGTATGGAGCTTCGAGATATTTGTTAACTTTTAAATAAAGACAAATTTTCAAAAACAGCCGATTATGGTAGGTGCAAAAGCATTGGGACCTTTTTTGTGCATAGGCATAATTTCACATTAAAATATAGGTCTTTTTAAAGCATTAATTTGCATCTCTGCCTCCGGCAACATTTTTTTTAGGAAAAAAACCCAAAAATGGGCAATAATCTTATCGAAAAGAGAAAGTCGGGTGCACCTTTTTATGTTCAGGCGTGTTTGAGTTGACTGTTTTGTCTTCTTGAAAACATATAAAGCAAAAATATTTGATATATCATCTCGCTTCAGATTCCAGTATGTAATATATTTATGCTACATATTGATGTAATAACACAAAAAATTCACAGTACCGTGAAATAAAGTATATGGGTCAAGTGAAAAATCTTTCTAATGAGTCATAACAACAGAGTTGGTGTGTTTGAATAACAACTATAAAAAGCTTCATGTTTAAAATTGAGGTGTATTTCTTACTCGTATCGTTTTT